TTCGCCAAAAGAAGGACGCATTTTAAGGTCGAATAACGAGGAGTCTTGGAATCCGACCAGACCTCGGCGCCGCGCTATGATGTAATCAACCTTCGAATCTGGCCTACTGAGGACGCTTCCTAGGTTTTCGAACAGAGCAATTGTTTTTTTTTTACTCTGACGCCACCCTTCCACTCAATTACAGGGTCTGACCAGGAGATGTCGCTTCTCTTAGATCTTAATGTCCACAAATCATGACAGAAAGAATATATTAGTACAAAGATTTATCTTTAAAAAGGAATTGTAGGGGAATGGCTTGAATGGCTACGACTGTAAATCGGCACTAATGCTGAAAAGCTGGAACGCCGTTCATCCTTATTTTGATTCTTTTTTTTGGCTTAAATCTGAGAAATGTAATCCAGAGAAAAAGCAATCTCTCAAACCTTCCATATAACTCACATGATCTGGCAATGCCACAGCTCTATCTCAAGGGACTTCAACCTATTACCCCCATTGGTGCAGATTATTAGAAGTTATATTTATGTATTTTTATATATATATATTAAAAGCAATTTTTTATATATTATACATTTTATTTTCAGTTAAATTAATCGTATTCTGCACCACTCTATTGGTATTAGCTTTTTTCAGTTTTTAAACTAGTTTTTAAAAATGATTTGAAAGAAAAGTTGTAGTTATGCCCTTTAAATGAGCATTTAGTAAATTGGGCTAAAAAAACACAGACTTACATGATTGATGGAGTCTTGAGCCACCGTCCTCCTCCTGGTTGGTTGGGAAACACGTCCTCCAGGAAGTAATACACATGACCGACAGCGATGCCTGTAAATAAAAAAAACAATCAAAGCAACCGTCATTCCTCCCATCCTAAGTTCTCCTCATCCTGGCAGCAGTTGGGAGTAAAACGGACCTAAAAGGTCGACGATGATGGAGTTTCCCAGCAGGAGTGAGAATCCCATCAGCACCCAGGGCAGGAAGGGAGCCTGGAAGTTAAGGAGGCCGAAGAAGTTCATGCGAACGTTTGGGTTCCTTCGGCTCCAGATGTAGACGAGCATGATGGTGAAGGCCTGGCCGAGGAAGACGAGGCTCACAAACATGCCGAAGATCTGTTCGACGTCTGGTGAAGGATTCACTCTCATTTACGGTATTTTTTAAGGTAAACTTTAGCCCCATTTACACCACTTTATTTAAACCGTGCCTAGATTGGTCCAAGCACAGTAACTGAGATAAATATTGAGTGTAAATGACACGCACAACTGAACCGGACCATGCAAGACACAACCAAACCGTGCTGACATGGTACTAGTTCATCAGTCGGGCTCAGTTCAGTTCTAGCTCAGTTTTCAGATAGCAAAGAGCGCATGAGCAAACCGCGTCATCTCCTTACAGTCAGCCTCCATAATCAGGAAATTTCAGACATTTATAAAAATTTGGGCTTCCCTACTGCGCCAACAATTTCCAGTAATGATTCTGCTTAGCAGTGTGATGAACCTGAACGTCTGTCCTTGTTTCCTGCGTCTGTAAGCCCGGATTAGACTATCGTTTGTCGTATCCACTTCCCCAAAGCCAAATCTGCTCAGTAAATTTACCAAAGGCTGCCGTCATAGCCTGACTCTGAACTTCTTGAACGTTATGGGCGCCACTAGGGGTGTAAATAATAATCGTTTTGTATCGATGCATCGATCCAACAGTCGACGATCCGATGCATCAACACGTCCGCAAGAGAATCGATTCATGTTTTTTTTTTTCCTCCGGTCTATTTTTATCCATTTGCTCCTGGGCGTAATTCTCCCTCCCGTGCTGCGGTGGCGCTAAACCTATTTTGCCCTCCTACCTCGCTTCCTGGTTATACTCTTACAGCAGTTTGTTGCAGTGAGCTTGACACAGACATTTTTAAATTATGCTCAATATTGAAGCGTGGTCTGTGCTACACGCTGTGGGTCTAGATACGGCCGAGGTGGCGAGAAAGTGGGGGCGAGTTTAGTCCGACGACGGAGGGACATGAGGGCCAAAAAGAGCGGAGATTCAGCTGGAAAAAGGGTCCCAGCATTCTCGCGCACCTCGCTCTTCTAGCGGGTCAAACTTCACGAGTTGTTTTTTGCAATTTCGGTCATAAAAACAAAACAAGCCGGCCTCCTGTCTGCGGCACTGTTTGCGGTCAGCTACAATTTGGGAGAGGAGCAGCGGAGCGTCTGTGGAGGGGGCGGGGCGTCTGGAGCCGAGGTATTGCATTGCACTCATTGCACTGATTTTGTGCAGTATTTATGCAGTATTTTTTTATGCAACTTTTCTACTTCTGTTATTTGCTGTTGTTTCTAAAAAAAAAAAAAAAAGCATGACGATATTACAGCTTTCATTGATTTATTTCAAACTTGAAACTTTGTTTAGTATGTAAGGTGTAAAAAAAAAAATTAAAAAAATTAAATTAACCGATTAATCGAATCGAATCGTGATGTATTCTTGAGTATCGAAAATAATCGAATCGTTGGGTCAGGAAATCGATACTGAATCGAATCGCCATGATGGATGTGATTTACACCCCTAGGCGCTGCCATGTTGATCTGACTGTTTCCATCTAGAGAGCAGTAGTACAGTAGATCGCCACTAGAAGGTGAGAACTGTGCTAGCGTGGTTTATAAATGTTTTTAAGGAACGGAGCTCGGCACGGTCTACTGATCCAAGCTCGGCACGGATCGGTTTTCATAGGGTAGTGTAAATGGGGCTTTTATCTCTGCAGGATCTATTTATTCCATTCAATTCTGTTTAATCTATAGCGCCAATTCACAACACATCTCATCTCAAGGCACTTTCCAGTGTACCAGATCATCCAGTCAGATTGATTCAAAGTTTTCTATCTAAGGAAAACACTAATCATGCTTGTTGCGACAGTGGAGAGGAAAAACTCCCTTTTAACAGGAAGAAACCTCCAGCAGAAATCTTTATTAAATTTAGATCTGAACCCTACTTTCTTCTCAACCTTAGTTCATCGTTTTCTTTCTCTTAAAAGCTCCTAAATGTGTGAAATCAGCGGTAAGGATACGGTCATGAGGAGGCCACCAAACAGGAACATGAAGACAAAGTCAGCCGTTCGGCCCCTGAAAGAGCCCTCCTCCAGCATCCGGCAGTATCTGTACCTGAAAACAGGCGGTTAAAGAAAAACG